CCCATTGATTTAGCTTGGAAAGCGGGGAGAATGGCGCTAGGCTTACCGCACCGTGATGTCACTGCTGGAAGATGGCAGGAGGGAGGGGCTACTGTATTTGGGCAAAAATGGCCGCTCCCAGACTCAGTGATCACGACAAAAATTATTGTTTTATTTTATTTTTTTACCAATTAACGCTAAATTTATTAAATCACTGCAAACGTATTCGTTTTATAGATAATGATCCTTGCTGATCTGACTTTTCCTTTAGAAGTGATGCTTATAGGATCTTTATCTTCTGTTTTCCCACTAGATGTCAGTTCAGACTGTAGATGACTAGTACCTGAATTCCTCCCTGAAGTGTGACTGCAGGTGCTGACTCAGCTGGTTGTTGTACTGCAGACAGGCCAGCAGGAGGCGGCAGCGCTGGAACAGCAGAACGGCCTTCACTGGGCTCAGGATGGACTCCTGCTGGTCTGACAGAACCTGGACCAGCTGCTGGGCCTGGTGACGGATGAAGGACGGCTGCAGAGGACAGATCAGAGGTCAGATGTTGGAGATGAATAGAGGAACTTCTCTGAGGGGAATATTTACCATGTGAGGATGAGGCTGAAGGACCCTGAGGATCCAGGACACCGTCACAAAGTTGTCTCCAGGGAAGCACCTGCTGGTCTGAAACAAGGAGACAATTCCAATGGATTTTATTTAGTAAATAAGTGTTATTATAAGTTATTCTAAATTTATGGAAAAATTTATTTGATTCTTTCTGAAGGTGTTGTCAGTCCACTGACTGCTAAAAGTCTTACAGCCATGATGAAACTATGGAGTCAGAAAGAGGTCAAAATGTTTGTGAATTTCTAAATATTGAAACAGAAAAAATAGAATTTGATATTAAATGTGAAATTTTTACCTTATAATGTAAGGCAAAATCAGAAAAAGCAAACATAAAATAATAAGAACTGAATCTATATTCAGGACTAAATACACTTTTCCTTTTTTTTTCTTTTCTGTATTGCAGTTTTAGACTTAGACTTAGACTGTACTTTATTGATCCTTTGGGAAGACTCCCTCCAGAAATTAAGGTTACCAGCAGCTTACAGGGCAAAAAAGTATTAAGTTAAATTAAATTAAAATTAAGCAAAATACAAATAAATATGGAGTTCACATTTAACAAGTATCAGGAGTTTTTTTTTTTTTTTCACAATAAATAAGTTTTTTTTCACATTCAGATTTTTTAACCCAACCTGACGGGAGTGGGCGGGGAAACATGATTGACAGCTTGCAGCAGCTCTGGATGTCCAGTTCCATGTTGCATTTAACTATTTATCCGCTGTAAATGTCTTTAACGTAATATTTTTCACAGGATTTTGCCAAAAAGGGAAATAAATAATGCAGATAATTTTGTGTTGGATTTCCCACAGTCCATGAATGCAACTGGACAACTCTCCAGCGCTGCTACAAGCTGTCAATCACGTTTCCCCGCCTATTCCGTTAAGATTGGGGTCAACATCTGAATGTGAAAAAACTGATTTAAAAGTGTAAAAAAAAATCCTGAAACTGAAAAAAAAAAGAAACTGAAAGAAATGGATTTAAATCTGAAAATCTAAAACTACATTTTTTTTTCAAGCTGAGGGGAAGAATTTAGATTCAATTCTTATTATTTTACATTTGCTTTTTTAGTTTCTCAGATTATAAGCTAAAAATTTGACATTAAATATCACCTTCTATTTTTTTCTGTTTCAACTTTTATTTTTTCAGTTTCAACTAAGATTTAAAAGTTTACAAACATTTTGACCCCTTTCTGAGTCCATAGAAAATGCTGATTAAATATAAACATGATCTAAAATATGAGGCAGAACCTTAAAATAATAAACACGTCTCAGTATTTATTTCCAGGCTTTTTGTCAGCTCTGCTTTGGTTCATTAAGGTTTTGCTTCTAAAAGCTTAGATATTTTCATAGAGTCTAAATGTTTGCCGGGCCATTTCAATACCTGCTTTCTTTTCTAGCAGCCTTTATGTTTGTATCCTTCAAAAGTAGAAACAGGATTAGAGAGGGATGGAGATGCGGGAGAGGTCACCAGGCTGGGACTCCAACCTGCGATGGCCGTTTAATGGACCAAAGCGTCTGAACATGGGCTGCACAATCTGCTCCTTTTGGGGGTCATTGTCTTGTTGATAACCCGGTATACCGCAGAGGTTATGTTACACGCGTTGATAGAAAGATTCCCCGATAACCAGCCCTCCACCTCCATGCTTAACAGTTTAACTGAAACCTTGTGCTTTTTTCTTTAGGCTGGTATATTATTTTTAGCTAGAAGTGTTTTTTGCCTGTAGGAAAACTTTAAATCAGAGACCAGAAAAATCAGATGTGGGGTTCCTCAAGGCTCCATTCTGGGGCCCCTTTTATTCAACATCTACATGCTCCCCTTAGCTCAGATAACAACCAGATCAGTTAGCATAACTATGCA